ATCTTATTAGTTCTGGGCTCGTGTATGAGTGTGTTTCCACAAATGAGCAGAAGCATGAATATATTCTTATTCCCCCTAGTCGTCCACCAATATCTAAGCTCCCTTCCTTCCTTTAATAAGAGAAATGCTACTTTTCAGCTTAGTATATGGCCACCTTGATATCATCTGTATTTCCCATCTTCCTAGCAGGTAGGTATGACCATGTGACTAAATGCCAATAGGATGGGAGCAGAAATAAAGGGTGCTTTCTAGGTTATGCCCTGGAAAAAAATGCGAGTGAACTCTCCTGTCCCCACCACTTTCCTGCTGAGGCTCAATGATGGGCACGAAAGGAGCCACTTTGGGCACCAAAATGAAAACCATCTGCTGTGAATGCAAGAGTCACCCTACCAGCCCTTAACAATCTCCTTTCTGGACTATTACATGGGGGGGAAATTAAACCATATCTGTCTTAGGTCACTGTATTTTTGATTCTCTGTTACTAGGTCACTGTATTTTTGATTCTCTGTTACAAGTGCTTAAACTATAGCCTAAGTACTAAGGTCCTCAGGCAGAGGATGGTGTAGCCCAGGAAATGAAAACAGTGAAGCAGGAAAAAAGAGGACATGAGAGCAAGTGGTGTGAACAAGACTATATTCCACTGTGTACGTATGTATGTGTGTGTATGAATATATTCCATCCTCCTCCTTGCCTCAGCTGAAAATCTCAATGCCCTAAGGACCTCACTTTTCCAGCAACCCTCACACACCTCCCTTGCAATGCACTGCCACTTCCAGAACATTACCTCTTCCAATTCTTGGAGAAACTTCTGTTTCCTGGAGCTTTATTTTATCTGGTCATAAAATCTTCTCCAGTTCCCCATCATCTATCAACATCCTTGCCACAACCCAATACTCACTAAAGAATTTACGTTACCTGACTCATGACCTTCTTTCTGATCCTAACTTACATCACCCCTGTGTGGATGAGACGTGCAACATACTCACTGCTCAGTTCTTAGATCTCATCTTGAATAATCTATCCTTCTACTTTAGCCATCTAGTCCCATAGGCACACCCTGAAATCATCTAATCTTCAGAAACTGCACCATACTCACAATCAATTCCAAATATATCACTTTCCAACTGCAACCCCCATCTTTCTAGCTCATTTTCCAAGTGCCCTCACTGGACCAATACTGAAACTTCCAATCTAGAACGTGAGAGTCTATGTCATCTGACCCACACTCTTCTAAAGTGTTAATGATATGATATACAGAGAGCATAAGATAGTAAAGAGACATAACCAAAGACAACGTGCGAACTTAGGACTGTAGATGAGGTTAAAAAACAGATAAAAAAAGACACTTTGGGGAACAAGTGGGGATACCTGCACATGGACAGTACATTAGATGATATTATGAGACTGCTGTTAATATTCTTCGGTGTGATAATGGTGTTCCGGTTTTGCAGGAACATGACCTTACCCTTAAGATGCATGCTGAAGTATTTAGGAGTGATATGTCATGACATCTGCAACTTTCTTTCAAATAGTTCAGGAAAAAACACAGGAGAGAAGGGAGAGAGGAAAGGAAGGAGGAAGAGTGAAGAGAAAGGAGGAGAAGGCAAAGAAAGGGAGAAGGGGTGTGATGGAGGAAAAAAGCAAGTGTAGAAAAGTTTAACAATTAATTGAGGTGAAGAGTGTACAGGTGTGCAATATACTAGTCATTCAACTTTTCTATAAGTTTGAAATGCCGAAAATAAAAAGCTACAGGGCAATGTATCAAGAAAAATCCCTCTCTGATAAATCTTTTAAGCTAAAAAAAAATACACATATATTTTTTTCAATCTGATGTGTATAAGTCCACATCTTTCTCTGTGCTCGTCCAAACACAACTAAGACATTTTAGGGTGGGAAGGTGGTTTAACTAATAAGAGGCGCCAGTACATCTTACTCTCCAATTGCTTTTCTACCTTCACAACACATATGGATATGCCTTCAAGACCTAGCTGCACAGTATGTTACAGTGAAGATGCATAGTCATTTATTCAGTTATCCATCCATTTAGTGGACACTGTGGTTGGTCAGAATTTTGGCTTCTACAAACAATGCTGTTGTAAACGTCCTTGTAAACATCATCTCACAATTCAGTCCTTTACTCTATAGGATAGATTGCCGAAAATTGAACAGCTAGGTCAAAGGTATGTACTTTTATTTTAACATCTAATGCCAGATTATTTTCCCAAAAGACAATAGCAAGTCACACTCCAAAGATGCCTGAGTGTGCCCATTCCACTCCATTCTTTTTTTTTTTTTAATTTTTAATTTTTCCTTCTTCTCCCCCGATGCCCCCAGAACATACTTGTGTATTTTAGTTGTGGGTCCTTCTAGTTTTGGCATGTGGGACACTGCCTCAGTATGGCTTGATGAGTGGTGCTAGGTCCACGACCAGGATCCGAAACGGTGAAACCCTGGACCACCAAAGCAGAGCATGCAAACTCAACCACTCAGCCACGGGGCCGGCCCCAACACTCCATTCTTAAATGTGGTGTATGAGATTCAGAGAAACAAAGTAATTTGACAAAAGTCACAGTTACTAAGTGTTGTCAGGACAGGATATGACCCCATGCCTGTCTTTCTATTGCAACACAGTGATTCAAAGGTAGAAATTTTAGACTGCCTAAAAATCTCTCTGCCCAATAAAATACATTTTTTTTACTTGTGATACATACAAAGTTAGGAGAATAATCTTAAGTCTACTTTGTATTTAAGTCACTTAATTAAAAAATATATTAACTGGCAAATCTTTATATAAAGTATAGAAAGTAAATCAGTGGAAAAAGTGTTCATTTAAATATAAAACATGAAAGTGTATTCTGTTAATATGAAAGAGTATTCCTTTCAAAAGCCAGACAGAATAGAAGGGTAACTTTTAGTTAAGACCAATACTAACCTAATACTTTGACAAACTGTCCATATGCCATGGCACTATGTTATATCAAAGCTCAAAAGAGATGTGATCTGATAAAATCTTCTTACTCAGACTATCTCAAATTAATGAATTTACTATTCAAGATCATTAGAGTGAAAATTAAATTAACCAAAGTCTAATAATTCAACAACCACAATAAAAAATACAATGATAAGGGAAGGGAGAGAGAAATCTGTAGAAAATTCTTACAAATACTTCAAAGGCCTCCAGGAACAACGTTCTCAAGTCCCTCGTTTATGTCTATATACGTGCAGTTAAACACACACTCAAATTAGATGTGTGTTCCAAACAGGATCTAAAGTAATCCAGGGGGCAATAGTATTTCTGTAGGAAAACCGACCCCTCAAGGCCTATTTAGCCAACACACAGAGAGAATCTGTATCTGCCGCTTATGCTGGAATGTAGCAGAGTTATAAAACCAGCTAATATTCCACAATTAAGGCTGAAAAGGAATTAGAGGATAAGCTAGAAAGAGTGTGAAGGAGATTTTTCAAATTTCTAGATGCTCTGGATAGTGATGCTACTGGTTTTTTTTTTATTACATCTAGATTCAGTTGAGAGCTTACTGTTTTCCTTTCATTGACAGAGGTGAATCACTAGCACATGACAGTAGATACAATCACTGCCACTTGTTAGTTAACAAATGGGAAGAAAAGAGGGGAAGAGTAATAAGGAAGGGAGGAGAAATTTCTCCTGATCTGACAAGAGAAAAGACGAGGAAAGTGAGGACTGCATGACTCACATGCAAATAGAGGAAAATCAGCAGGGAAAGATAGAAGCAAACAAATAGAGTCACTAAACTGTCATGGGCCACTACTGTACAGTTGTACCAACTGTTCACTGCAAAAAGGCACTTGGTCAAGGAGGCAGAGTAAGGGCTTGACATGCTCCATTGTTAAGCTGGGCTCCCCTTCCCAGGGCTGGACACGCTGAGAGAACAGGATACTTCTAATTTACACAAAGTTGTAGAACACTTGCCAAGCCTTACAATCTACAGGCTTCGTCCACTCAAAGGGAGGGCTTTTGAAATTGCATTCAAACTCCATATGGGCTTGAGGGAGGCTGTGCAGTCATATTCCACCACCATTCTACCCTGTCAGTCTCCAAAATCTAGCCTCCTAGCCCCACTGTTCTATTTGGTGAGGCCTGAGAAAAGAGCAAAACTATACAGCCAGTCTTTCCTACAGAATGTTCTTAGATCCACACTACTCATTCATAATTCAAAATGAACTTATATTTTACACTTTAAATATCATATTAAAGTCCATTATTCTGAAGTTTATGATAATTTATGCTGGCCTAAAGTAAAATGATCTTTTCACTACTAATGGAAAGTTGCTAATAAAATTTAGAATGCAATTTACTCCTTAAGGGGAATAAGTATAACTCTGCTTTAGTTATTTAAATGTAATGGCTGCTCCTAATTCAGTTCTCACTACACCCCTGAAAGTCTTGTAGGATCACACGTGTTAGGCATTAGAACTATCCTGTATATACATAAGGTAACAAAAGTGCATTTTCTAGAAAATATTCTATAATTTCTCTAATTTATAGAAGCACAGAGCTATTCCCTCTACTCTCAAATTAGTCAAACGTAGGTCACTCTATTTTATATCTCCATTATGTTTTCAAGTTTCAAACTTCAAAACAACAACAACAAAAATACAAAGGCAGTAATGTAGCAAATGTTCTGTCAAACTACACTGGCCAATAAAAGACTTCAGAATAAAGAACCATTTTAAATACAAGACATACCTATAAAATACTAAATGCTCATCCAGGAAAGGTCATAAACCATATGTTTAATTAAATAATTCAAAATGTATATGTAAAGCACAGGACTGCTAAAGAATATGAAACAGGTATTCTTAATTAGAAAGTCAGTTTAATTAATTCAAGCTTTTCTTATCTCTATTTAAACACATAGTAAGCAAACGTTCTATCGAATTCTCTAATTATTAAATTTTCAAGTTGTTTTCCAGAACTGGACGCCATGTACAATAGCAGCACTTCAAATGTTTCTTTTTACCTCGAATAACATAATTATCCAGTGCATCTTCCATTCTCTTCAGTGCTTCAGTTCTATCAGAACCATATGTGATTAGCTGAAAGCAAACATACGAAAAAGCGTTTTACATAGAGAGATGTAGCTCCATTGATCTATGAGTCAAATGATTCATCCCAGTAAAAATTAAAGTATTTCATAACAGACCTCCCAGAGCAGCTTTTGAAATTTCACAGTGGACCAGTTTTTAGTATAAAGTATGTCAACTAAGATTTTTCTTAAGTAAATAAATATTAGAATCAAGCTATATCAGACTTTTCTCCTATATTTCACTATCACAGAAAAGAGCTCCTTGACATAAAGAAAACAAGCATAAAATGTTTAAAAGGAAAGATATCAAAATGTGAACATTTGAGATAGGATATGAACATCTGGGATAGTAGACGATTAGGCAAGATTTGTTTTTTCTCTCCCTATTTTTCTGTGGTTTCCAAGTTTGACACCCTGAATAGCTAACTTGTACATATAACATAGCACAGAAGCAAGGGGTACTTGCATTAGAAAAACTGAAAGGTCTTACTGATCTAAATGATTTTGTGCCCATTTATATGTATCTTATACAAATTAGCAGTAAAAAAGTAACTATTCATAAAATATTTTTCTGGGTATTACATTAATCAATTTGTTGTTTACAATTATTTTAGTACATTTCTCAGCTCTTTAGTATCAAGCCAGGTTGAAATTTAATTTGCAGGCCATTTTTCTGAACAGAAATGTATTGCTCCAAAAATGGAACCATATCTATTAAAATAAATCTATTTATACGTATTTTTATTTTTAAATTAGTGTTTCTCAAACAAAATACTTAAAGTTCATCTTAACAATATTAGTGTAAAAACTTAAGTGAACAAAGAAAAATAAAAGATGGTTTGTTTACCGCAACTACATAAAAAAGTACAATTTGGGAGAAAAACCATCTTGAGAAATAGGATTTTCAGTAAAGAAATCATCCTTCAATACAGGTCTAACACTTCAGAGAAAATAGCATTGTAGATTTAAATAAAATTCACAGTTTTAGCTATTGCAGGTAGAATTTTACATTTCATCAGATCTTAAGATTCTAAAGATTTTAAGAGATCTAAAAATTTAAGTGGAGTCGTTAATTTATTCTGGAAAGTCAAATTGCAAAAAGATAAGTGGGCAAAAAGACATCTTATACTCTCACATAAAATTTAATTATGTCAAATCTACATAAGTAATTAGTGATTCATAAAAAGGAAAAAGGTAAAAGTACTCTAACAAACACAGCTATCATCTCAACTCCTTGACACCATCTGCCATTCATACTGTCAGCTCAGGTGATTTTCAGGAATGGTCAGAAAAAAACCCCAATTCATTCTGAATGCCATGGGCAGGGTCGGTGCCACTGGTAGATAAGTTTGTCACTGAGGGGGCAGGGGATGATAGTTTAGTTTGATTGGGGAGGAGAGAGTGTTGCAAACTAACACGATGTTGAAATTTCTCTCTTAAAGAAAATCTGCTCTGCTTTCGCTTTTCCATCAGTGCATAAATACTCGTTTAATTGTAGCACATGATTCAGGTAAAGGCCCAATTTCAGACTTTTAAATTAAATACGTCCATTGTCTTTTCAGAATAATACTGAAAGAAATCATTAAGAAATAGAACTAACTTTTGAAATCATTGGATCATAATAAATGCTAATATCACTTCCTGGTTGGATGCCACTGTCAACCCGGACCTGAGAGAAAGAAAGAAAGAAGTGAAAGTATTGTGCAGATATTTTTCTCATAACAAATTTAATTTCCATGAAACAGATGGATAACTTCAATCTCGAATAACATTTCAGCTTGTGGAAAACAGAAAAACAATCCAAAGTATACAGAAAGCAAATTACCTTGATCTGTTAATATGCAGTGCAACATATATTTTTTGTTCTCCCAATAAAAGAAGGAATTAAGAAACTACACACAAAAAAAATACTTCATACATCACTATCCTGTGATGCATTTGTAGCTATTTGATGGTATCTTCCAACTGAAGCATAGCATGAGTGATGCCACTCCTAGTCACACTCCCCACTGTACCCTCTGAGAGTCCCAATGAGGACCCCAGTCAAGCCATGCAGCAGGACTCGGAGCACCGTCAGCTCCGTAGGAACGCTGGTCCTGGGGCTTTCATGTCTATAACACTTTCCTTTTTTGTCTCACCCTCTCAACTGTAAAATGCTTTTTTTTCTGTTACTGTTAGTCCCCTGAGACTTTAATGTTTACACAGCTTTTCTCATGGCTTTGCTTTGTAAGGACACAGCCCCAATTAGAGTTCCGATTTTGCAATTTTCATGGGGAAAAAAAATAGCACAAGTTCAAAATATTCTTTTGAAGAGCCTGATTGCTGTTAACCAGCCAACAAGTTAGTTAGTACATCGCTGATTCTTGTTTTCATCTCCCAGTTTGATATCAGCCGTAAGGCACAGAGGTTAGCCATGTAAAACTTTTAAAATGAGCAGTTGCTGCGGATGAAATATTTATTAAATTATTGTGCCTCTGTTTTGGAATCTGAAGTATTTAAAAGCTAATCAAAATACTGAAGACTGTCAAGCATGTCCTAGGGATCTTGAGGACAGAGGAATTTAATCGAAGCTGCTGGAACAGCAGGACTTTGATGCCCAACATTGTAAAGGGGTGGGAAGAGATGAGCGGAAGCTCACGTAGCTCTTCACCTGTGGGAAGAAGCCTTCCTAACAAACAGCAGCTCATCTGTCTGCAGCAAGGCAGAAAAAGGTCAACACAGCGGCTGTTAGGCCTTTAATATTTTAATTTAGGCAATTATCAAGGGACCACATGTAGAACCTCTTGTCTAGGATATCCACATGAGGGTATGATGATGGCTTTATTATATGGTGACATCAAAAGATAAAGCACAGTTTCATTCTCTCGGAAAAAAAAAATTACACTACTCTTCTCTTTGTAAGGTTTCAGAAAATAACATTATAACATACCCAGAGTGCTTCTATTTCCGTATTTGCAAACACAAACAAAAATATGGATATTTGTATTCACATTCACATGTGAAAATCTTAATTTTAAATAGAAGTCACTCAGCGCACTTAAAAAATATACTTGGCATTCTATTTTCCAAAAACATACTTCAGGACATAAACTGAAGTTCTATGAAATTCACAGTGTTTATAAAACCTAGAAAAGAATTAATGGGGCAGCTGTGAAAGTAATAAAATCATAATCTACCTTCTTCCCACATTTAAATAGCCCCCAAATGGAACTGGTAATCAAGTTATATAGCAGAAAGGACATCTCTGAACTTGTATTTTCTTAATTTTTGTAGCAAAAAGTTAAAGAGCTCATTTTACCACCATGTATTATTTAAAATGACAGCATGCTTGCTAAAGTTGGGTTTAAAATTGAGATTGGTACAAGTTCTAAAACTTTTGACTTTAAACATATCCTACTATTTGCTACATAAACTGCTACAAAGCTAGTGTGGAACTTTGATGTTCAACCCACTGGTAAAATAACACAGACAATAAAGAACATTTATTACATTCTCCTATAGTTCACAACTTAAAATTTTAGTTACCTTGGATAACACCATCCTAAAAGTTAAGTTACCTAGGGCTCTTAGATCTAACTATGTGTTTATTTACTAAAATTATAATCACAGAAGGTATGTCATTTTAATTTAAAAATACAGAGAGTAAAATCAACTTGTATAATATATAATCAACACATATCTTTGTATAAGCAAATTAACATTTCTAATTTAAAACTGTAACAAAGCATGAAGACTCTGACTTATAACTTACTGTTTATGCAGCTTTTTCCAAATAATAATCAGCTTATTTTAGTTTCAACAATGAATTAAAAGTCAAATTAAGTCTCCATCCCTCCATGGGAAAAAACGTTATGCAAAAATACATATATTTTAGCTTTTTGCACTAAAAGCTTTAAGGATAAAGTCAAATGGAATTGTAACCAAATTTCTGAGCAGAACAAAATTGTGGTCTGAAAGAACAAATTTACAAAATATGGTGATCAAAGATAAAAAGAAAATCTTCATCTTTGCCATATAAATAAATTTTAGGCTTAAAGCAGCATGTGAAACGTACAAACTGTAAGTTAACACTGAAGTATGTATTCTTATGACCAAAAAAGATAAGGGCCACAAAGGGCTTCCTAAGTTAAAACTGATCTAGTTTAAGAAGATAAAGAGGAAAAACAAACACCACCACCACCTCCCGAGCACCTGTGTATGAGTCTAAAACCACTGCTCAGAAACCTCTGGCACAATTCAAATGTCTTTTTTTCTGTACCAACAGTGGACCCTGTGAAACTATGAGCCATCTCCCACCCTGCATTCTCGAGTCACCTCTCCCCCTCAGCACAACTCCCAGCCCGCCACGTCTACCTGACAAGTGACAGCCCAATCTGATTAAATGCTTCCAAGGGAGGGGACTCGTGGGCCTCCATGACAGGCCAAAAGTGATCACCATGGAGATACATAATTACAGCTGTCAACGCATCTACTGTCCTGCTGACATCAATTTGATTGCTCCCAGCAATAATGATAGACAAAGCTTAGTGTGCACTCTCCCGCACCCAATCACTTTATCTATTCCTTGGTCCATTTAGCTGACATGCAACATTCACACAAGCAAATAACAGCAGTAAGCAGAACATTTAAGGCATTTTAATTGTTTTTTCTTTCTATGGATGGCTCACAAGCGCAAATGTTATTACATAAAACTCCTGCTGCAGCATTAATTGAAGAAAGATTTGGTGGGACAAAGACTGTAGGGGGTATAGTTTGTCCATTATCACTTGTACTTTCAACAGGTCTCACGTCTGAAAATTGCAAATTGCAAAAACTTGCGAGGGCAAAATGTTTGACATCCTGTTAGCTATTACAACGTGGTGAAAACTTCTAACAACTAGAGTAATCATTATGAATTCTTATTTAATACTTTTTTGTTTGATTAAAAAAATGTTTAGATATGTCCCTATGATACTTGTTTTCTCATCTGCTATTTAACGTCACATAACGCCTGTTAAATCTTTACAATTTTTTTTCTGCCTTCAGGCTTTGAACACAGCATGAAGTCTCCAAGCCTAGAAAGGGTCAAGTCCCTTTAGAAAGCACATGGGCAAAAACAATTTAAAAACTGAAATAAATCATATATCCAATAACATCTTCAAATTTAGAATTCTTCCTGTAATTTTTCACCATCTTTGTCCAGTAATCAAACTGAATAATCATATTCACAGATGGTACAGCCTCGTCATCCACTAGCTAACGTAATGTCATATATATATGCACTTACTACCTTGTTAAGAGACAGGGTATGTCCTTGTTCTTTTCATGAAAAAAAAAAACTATTTAATGAACAGCTATTAAATATAGAGGAAATATGAATAAAGCAGACAGTAATCACTTTTCTTTAACTGGTGTAAATAATATATACTTCTTAGAGTCCATGACACTTAACAGAATGAGGTACAGTTTGTTTTCCTTAATCCATTCAGTTAACAAGCTTATTTTGTACTTGAATTTCTTGACATCTGACTATACAGGCAAGCTAGATTAGATTTATTAAAAAGATTAAATTGTAACACAGAAAAATCATTTCCGACTCTTAGGATTCCATCATCTTTTTCATTACAATTTTCAAAAAAGTTGTGACACTGTAAAATATCATTTATTTAGAAGTCAGATGTCTCTGGACTTCCCCCATCAAGTGAACTCTGATTTTCCTCCACATCATAAAGTACAAAATATTAAAAAATAAAAAACTGATTCCCCATGAATTTTACTTGTCCTTCAATTTACACCCTTTGGTGTTGACATGCTTTAACATAAAAGTATGACATAAATCAAGATTTTAACCCCTCACTTGGTATTATAGCTTAATGACTTACACCAGGTAGATGTATTGGTTCTTGGTACTGAGACAATCTCCCAATAGACGGTAAACCAAAAGACTTGTAGGGGTCCTGAAAGTTCAAAGGAAAGGAAGCACAGTCTTTGAAATATAAATCAGCACAAGTAAGGTTAAATATTTATACAATGAAGAAGGATTTATAGGTCTATTTTCAACATACTGTATTTACCAAATCACAGATTTCAGAATATCATTGTCTTATACTCACTCTAGACAACTTAGAAGTGTATTTAAAAATCAAACAGAACTGTAAGCAGAATTTAGCCTGACCTTGATCATACTTTATTGAAATTGGTAAAATTCCAACTTTTTATAAATCTTCTTAGAATGCCTTGGGCAAAAATAAAATAACCTAGGCGCTACATCAAAACATACTCAAGTTCAGAACAACAAATGTAGTGCACTAAAGATATTTGTTTTTCTTACTCTCAAAACAGCTCGCATATGGTAAAATTTGAGAATTTTGGTTCTTCAAATAAAGACTTGAAAAGAAACTTTGCACATGCTACTAGATATGTGCTCCATTTGTAAATATCTTAAGTCATCAGAATAAATATTAAATAAGTTCAGTGTCATAACAATAAGGAAGAAAACACATTTAAAACATAATAAAAAGCAAGAACAATAACCAAGCCAAAACATATTTCTCAAGATCCTTAAAAACATTTCAAAACAACTTTCAGTACTCTTAAATGAAGATAGTGCTAATTTATTTTTTATTTCGACAGACAGGCTGCAATATCTAAAAGTAAAAGATAGTCTAAATGTTTCCTTGCATTCTTGTTTTAATCATTTGAAAAAAGCATTTTCAGGTGTCGACTGCTTTATTATCTGGTTAATATAGTTATAAATTAATATGAAAGTACTAAACTGAGAGTTTCTGAGCAAAATCTATAATTAAAATTATGAATGAAAGCTTTGCAATTTAAATTTTAGTTGTTACTTTCATATAACCATAAGGGATAAAATTACTAGGGAAAAAAGCTATGAGAAAAAATTTAAGTAAATATTGAATTAACAACTAATATGTACCCGGGGTAAGATCTCAAAAAAACAAAAGATAAAACCATAGAAATAAACGCTTCTGTTTATTTCAAATGAGGTTTGAAAACAGGCAAACAAAAAAAACCCATGGTCCATTCAAGCACGAGAATATTCAACTAATGCTTTGTTGCCCTTTAAACTGATTAGTAGCTATTCCTCCAACCAGAAAAAATATACAAAAATTAATTAAACTCAATCCTTTGAAACTATTTTGAATTATGTCAAAATTACCTAACCTTTCCCCTGGTTCAATTCTGGATTACATAATCAAATACTTGACACGGGTTATAAAACCCGAACTTTATCTTGTTTACCTATACCTGGTCCCATAACTTGGAACACAATCACCATTCTTCCTCCCAACATCATTCATTTTACCTCAGCATAAACCCGACATTCAACTGCCCAGCCGTTGATGGGAATATCAGCTTGTTTGTGCCTGAGAGGGTAACCCTTGGCAACACGGATCATTTCTTGGACTAGGTCCAGGCCAGTAATGCATTCTGTGACAGGATGCTCAACCTGCAAGGCCAATATCTGCCAGTCAATAGGTGTAGGAAAAGGTAAATAAACAGAAATAAGCAAGAAGAATTTCAACAACCTTTGAGTAAAATGAGGTTAATTATATTTAACATTTAATCCTATTTGACTAAAAAACTATCTGAGAACAAAATTAAAGAATAAACACAATATAGTACAAAGCATGATAAGAAAAACTAACACCTAAAAAGTATTTTGTAAACTATCTATATTACTTTTCCCAGTTTTTAATCAGATGTGGTCCACAAATGTTTAACACTTTTAATTTTGAAACTAATTCTTAACTGAGAATTACATATTCAGGGGCAATCTTCAATGTGGCTGATAATCAACCTATTCTGCTACACTTAGCATGGCATCTATGGAAGCAGCTTATGATTTTCCAAAGCACTAGTCTAGCCGAAGTCTCACCCACTTGCATGCTTTCACTAACCTGTCCTGACAAGCAACCAGATTAGCGTACTCTTACATCAATGCAGTGTAGCAGAAAGGAGCAGATGGATCCTGCAGGTTGTTTTCCCTCCAGACTTACATGGGGAGTGCTTAGCATGCACAATAGCAAAACTGAGCCAGTGAAATCACTGCTCTCTCAGCAAATTGCTGAGAGCTACTTTGGATGATGCTGTCATGGGGATCCCTGGCCTTCCACACTAACACATGGGCTACACATGTATAAAACCCTGCACCAACATATAGGGATACTAACAGGGATACACATTATAAATTTGATCGATTGCTTACAAGTTCCTAAACTTAGCTAAAATAAAGCCACTTATGGCACTAGCAAAGAAGAGATAATCTGTCTTTCATCTAAACCTTGAATAAGTTTTAAAAATTTAACTAAAACTTTGGCCACATCTGCTGCTTTGACACCAATTCTTTTTCTCATAAAAATTAAGCATGTTCTAAATGCACTTCACAATAGTTTCTTTATCATGACACGTCATATTTCATACACTCTGACACAGGAAAAGGTCAGTGAACAAACGAATTGTCTTTCCATCTTCAGCTACACTAATTGAAGGACAGGACTTAGTCATTATAATAATCTTGAAGCTTATCATAAGCAGACAATGCCATGGTCTTAAAAAAAAAAAGCTTTGTAAAAATAAACAGATGGCATCCATAATTAGCTCTGTGTGTGTTATGAGTTTGTTTACAGTTTCAACAACATTTTAAGACATTTTGACATAATTTTAATGACAAATAATCACTAAAATAAGCATCTGCCCTTTGTAAAATAAATGTGACACTAAATAAAGATCTTATTAGATAATTTAAAAAATATATTTTTGAAAGCAAATTAGAATTTTGCGAGAAACAAGACTGTATGATAAACACAATAAGAAAGGAAGAAACTGTAGAACCTCTCTATTATTACTAGAAACAAACTTCACGTGAGAAAGCATCTTACTACACTAACTACTCAAGAGGTGAGCCTACTATGTGCTAAGGGCTTTGTATCAATACTGTGCACATATCCCTGTCAGGTGAGAAAAGAATTTTAAAAGCTAAGTGAATGATTTAATTTCATCCTTCTAAGTCTAGTGACCAGAGAAGTATGTACTATATACTAGGCAAATAAATATATATTGAATGAATGAATGCACAGCAAATCCAGAGTCACACCTATACTAAGTGGTAGAGGTAGGGCTGGAATTTATGTCACCCCAGAGATGGTATAACCTTCTTGTTCTTCCTCACGGAAAAATGTATAAAAAAGCATGTAGTCAACATAAATGGCTATATAACTATGTGCTGTTGTCTTTTATAAAACATATTACTATGAAAGCTTAAAGATCCAATTCATTAGAGGGCTCTGTTTTATCTTAGAGATCTCCCTATAATCTGTAGGGGAAAAAAGTACATCAGACCCATATTGAATGGAATCCAAACATAGACTCACTTTAACCCTACTTAGAGTTATGTAACAGGAACATAACACAACACTTAAAAAATATAAATATATTTTAAAATAAATTAAATATAAATTAACTATAAATTAGTGAACTGCATTTCAAAATAAAAGTAATTAAGTAGATAACTAAAATAATATCTAGCTGCTCAAGACAAAAATCATTATTACAGAATTTTAAAAAAATATCCATTGAGGTTCAAGTATTGTTAAAGTTTACAAAATAGTCTAACATGCCTGAATTTTTCAGGTAACAGAAATACTTTTTTTAAAGTAAAATTTATAATTTTAAACGTTTTTGAAAAAAATCTTTCTCAAAACATTTTAATAGAATTTCAAAGTTGTTCAACAGGATATGTGAAACATTTCCTCTAGACTCTGTATTATTATTATCAGGAATCTTTTAAGAGTAACATTGTTTAAATAACCATGTATATCCCCCACCCCTGAGAACTTAGAAATCGTTTCTCTCCTAAGTTAATACTTAAGAGATCAGAACAGAGGTATATAAAGAGACAAATGGCTCCAAGGCCAAAATATAATTGAATAGTCTTAAAAATATCTTTAAAAGGAGAGGAAAGGAGAAAGGAAGGGAGGAAGGGAGGAAGAGAGGAAGGGAGGAAGGGAGAGAGGGAGAGAGGGAGGGAGGGAGGGAGGGAGGGTCAATGGAAAGTGAAGGTGACTAAGTGGAACAAAAGGTTATAAAAGAAAAAAACGTCAAAGATCGGTGTCTGGTAAGCCAACAAATTCATCTTGTCCAACCTAGAAGAAAAGTCTAACTACAAAAGGATGATGGTAATAAACACCTATTCTGAGGACTATTATGTGTGTGGTCAGGGGGATGGGAGTTGTGTCACTTCTATTTGGGAAACATGGAGTTAACCTAAATTAAATAGTTTTAGTTTTTTTTAATTAGAAAGACTCCTCAGACTCATTAATACATCACTATGTCTTGGGACTCTCCAAGAGGAGGATATCATACATCATTTATTTACCACACACTTCCTCCTTCCGTAGAGTATCTTTATGGGTTGAAAATTCCATGGAACACACTTTGAGAAATAAGGCCTTATATATTCAAAATACAAAAATGACTTCTTTATTGTGACTCTATACTCACCAAAGAAATTTTTGAGAACTTGGCTTCACATATAATTTTCCTACCCAGCAGAAATGTGTGCTAGTTCCAAGAAACATATGAATAGGGGGATCCCCCAGATAGAATGATTATGCATTGGAGATTAATACATTGACATCCTAGTATATAAATCTTGTGATTTAGTCAGCAAAAGTAAGACCTAACCAAAAAGAAGAGAGGAAAAAATCACACATGCAATAAAAAGGAGTAAGCCCTATCAAGTTAGAATTTCTGAATCCTCAAAGGTAAATTACTGAGTAAGATATTCATCAAGGTAATAGTACCACTCTTCAAAGTCTATTAGTAGCTGATAAGTCAGTTTGTATTGGCAATGCCCCTATCTCGCCATGAATCCCCTCCAAACAAGTACAAACAACAACAATCATCAAATGCCACATTATAGGACATAATCACTCTCAGGGACTAGAATGAACATCTATGGTTATATACGCCTATGTTAGACGGTCACAAACAGCTAGCTTTTTGGAGATCTATTTGCTATTTTAATTTAGTTTTGTCTTCTTGGTCACCATCAAGCTGTCACTATTTTCAGTGTTCACATCTAGACCTCTGCCACTGCCTTTTACTAATCTGTTGCTTCAAATTATTTCCTAAAAAAATAAATAACTGACCCTGTCAAATGCAACAGTGAGGTAAATTAGGTTTTGCTTCACCTGTGAGTTCTTGATGTATAAAATTTCAAGAGTAATGAATTTAGGAAAACAATCTTTCTGGTATTGTGCTGTCATTATCTATCTTTATGATTCTAAAAATTATAGTCATAAATTCTGCCACTGCCACTGTAATCTTCAGCCTTATTCCTCATTAAATACAAACTAGGAAGTATCTAAAACTAGGGAGTGAAAGCCTAATGAAATATTTCCAGAGTCTCAAAGTATCTCCCCATAAGATATTTTATTAATGATAAAGGAAAAATAGTAATTCTGTGATGGAGAAATTTGAGAGATACCACCTCATCCAAACCAACATCGCCAGTAATGGAATAAAGAGACATCGTGTGTCTCCTATGTGGTAAAGGAGAAAGAAGGACAATACCATTTCTGTAGTATTCCTGCCAAAAATGCAAAGCCTGAATTTAATCATGAAAAACCAAATACAAAAGGACGGGCATTCTATAAAATAAATGGCCTGTACTCGTTGAAAAAAAGGTAAATATCATAGTTGACAACAAAAGAATAAGGAACTGTTTCAGATGGAAAGAACATAAAGAGACATGACAAGTAAATGTAACGCAGGATCCTAAACAAGAAAATTTTTTTCTTTTGCTATAAAAGACATTAGTGGGACAACTGGTGAAATCTGAACATCATCTGTAGATTAGACAATAGTTATATGTCAACGTTAATATCCTGATTTTGATAATGGTACTGTGGTAATGTAAAAGAATTTTCTTGTTTTTAGGAAACAGAAACATGTTTAGAAGTAAAGGGGCACCAGGTCTGCAATTTACTCTGAACTACTTCAGGTAAAAAAGATAGATACAGATACAGAAATATATAGATACAGATACAGATATAGGGATGAGCAAATATAAATGTTACTGAAGGCTGTTCAGAAATTCTTTGTAATATTTTGCATTTTTCTGTACATCTGAAATAATTTCAAAAGAAAAAGTAAAGCAATGTCACTAGAAAGAGTTTTTTGTTTTTACATTACAAAACATTATTAAAATAAAGCTATCTGACTTGATCAACGTTATTTTCTCTTCAATCAAAACCTTTCCACTATGTGAAATAATCAATAGCAGATAATTTGTTCAATAGGTTTTCTCTGACTTAAACTTTTAAATATTTTATTGTTTTATTTTCCTAATAATTCCTAAGGTTTTAATAGGTAACAGGCAAGTAGTCCCTCAACAGAAGCAAGATTCAGGCAAATTTTAATTACACACTTAAGTTAACCTCAAAT